GACATTTAAATGAAAAATCTCATGCTGATTAAAAGCAGGTAGGGAAATAGCTGGGAAAATGAAATGCACCATACATAATCAGATCCAGATGACATGCAGCCCAGGATTTTGAGGGAATGAAGCTAATGAATATAGTGAACCTCTGGTAATTAGATTTGAAAAGCCATGGCAAGGGAGAGGAGGAGGGAAAACACAAACATGGTATAGATCTTAAAAGGGGAAAAAAACAAAAGGAAAAAAGAAAGTTATACTAACATAGGCTTATAAAAAGCCCACATCACTGACTGTAACCCCCAGAAGGGAGGACTGCAAAGTGTTTCTCCAGTCTTCCCTTTCAAACTTTCCATCATCTTTTCACTCCTCACTTCCAAAGTTGTGCTCTTTTTTGTTTCCTCTCCTCCTCTTCTTTTGCATCCCACCTTCTGCTTTTGCCCACATCCCCTATTTTACTCCCTATGAGATCTTTGGAGTTTTTCAGGATGAAGAACCCTTTCCAGACCATTCTTGTTGCCCTTCGAAGGTACAACATCTCCACCCAGCTCTATGCAGTTACCTAAGCAGTAGAGCTCCATGTTGTCCCTTCTCAACAGCACTAAGTTAAACCTTTAATTCAGGCTAAGTTCTTAAAGATGAGCATTTCTTTAACATATGAATACTCCCACTAAAATGACTGGAGCAACTGAGGTGTTAAGAACCATAGGGTTTTTTGCCTGCCCCGAACAGGAGTTCAAGAATTAATTTCTTTTCATTCCGAAACTGAGTTTAACCCAGCTGTTGCTGTTATATTCAGGCCCATCTCCTCACCTACATACAAACACAGGCTCCTCTCGCACCTGTCCTAGCAGACATCCCTCTGTAGCCAGTCTGACCTGCCACCTGCACACATCCCTGTGCTGACAAGGGGAAGCCTGCCTTCCCTTCGTGCTCCTGCATGGCTCCTGTGGTTGGCAGCACTGGCTGTCCCAGGGGTGGTGGGCTGAGGACATTTGTGGCTCTCAACTGGTCTCCATCCTGAGCTGATCATGTAAGTTTGGGCTTTTGTGCAGCTCCAGTTGCCTCCTGGCACTCACAATAGCCCCCTTCAGGGTGCAGCACGCCCTGATGTTAGGAGCCACGGCAGGGCTGTGTGACCAAGTGAACCCCACTCCGCTGTGTCCTGGGCACCCAGGCGAGGGGGAAATGGGGGAACAAATGAGTTACAGTTTACTGAGAGATTTATGGTTTCAGGAGCTTGATACACTGCACATCAAGCCTCACTGAGCGGGGTTTTGGATGAATTTCTCACATTAGAATTAGAGCAGAAGCCCAGCAGGAAAAAATCCTGACACTTGCTACACCCAAGCAACTCCCAGAAAATTGCAGCATCCTGCATGTGAAGGAACTGAAGTATGGCATTTTTCCTCTATTTCAGTGTGGATGATGAATTCTTTTCAATTAGTCCAAGAATCAGCATGACTATTTGAATTGTACATTTTTGCATTGAGTACAAAGTCTTTCATGTTTTTTCAACGGAGAGTTATACAGAGTATTAACAGAGCTGTCTGTTAGGCAACAATTCCACTGGAGAAGCAGAAAGTGAGTTTAGATGGTGATAAAATGCAGTACTTTTTTTTTCTCTTGATGTCTTCACTAAAGAGTAGAAGCGTCTCTTGGGATCTGTTATTTGGATTATAATCTGAACTACTTTCTGTCAGAATACTGACTTTGTGGACCAGAAAGGTCAGGCTAGCACTGAAGAAATAAATTCCCTTCAGGAAACTTAACACAACCCTTTTTCTCCCCTAAGCCAGCAAAATCCTTTTAAATTATTTTAGTAACTCTAGCAATGTAAAGCAGACTTTGCACAGATTTTGAAGAGAGCAACATCTCTCTGCAGCAGTAAGAGTTTGCTACTTATGGGTCAAAATGATTTGCTGGATCAGAAATATTTCCCTCCCTGGGAGATGCTGATTGCAACTGTAGGCTTCTCCTTTGCATATCGAACAACGCAACTCAGTGAGTTGGGTTTGAGGCAATCAGATGTTAAAAGGCAATTTGGAGAAAATTGCATATAACTTCAGATGTCATTCAAAAAGGATGGGGTACTGGCATCTGTTTCTCATAACCTTTGAAACATTACATATGTTTCAGAACGGTACTGTTTTTTTAGAAGTAAACCATATAATTTCTGGGTTCTTTAAAATTAAACACTGTACCTTTAATTTAGGATATTGTTATTTTCTAAAAAAGACAATGGTAACCTTTTTTGACCTTCTCTGTGGTGTAAGTTATTATTGGCAAGGTCACGTTTGGTCTCTTTGTCTGATCCAGCAGTGTATTTCATGAATTACCTTATAATTTTAAGTGGTGACTAGACCTTTGTGTTCTAGATAAGGTCACAAAAACAATTTATCCAAGACATTTGACAAAGAAAGGAAAAAATGCCCACTTTTCCCATCAAACATAATTACCATTCACCACATCTAAATTAAGCACTTGTTACATCTTTGCTGGAGAACCAAAAGCCACTATGAATCGGTTTATTTGTCCATCAACTGAATTCTGGTGCAGGGAAAACAGAGGAAATGGGCTTTAAATTTAACCCTCTTAATGCTCCAACAGAAAACTCACAGATCTGAAACTTAGGCTGTGGCAGACTCTCCTTTTTTTATTTTTTTTTAATGAATGATGGAAAGCCATGAGGTAAGCCTCCTATCTCTCTTGCTGGAACACACGGTCTGGCAGTGGGCTGGAACAATGGCACAAGGGCAGGAGAACAGGCAAACTCAGAGCCGGGCTCTACAAGTTTATTCAATTAGTTATTAAATGTTTGGAACAAGGTTTCATTTGCCAACAGCTGTATACAATCATTTGCGGTTTTGAGGCCAGGGTAATTGGCATGTTATGAGCTTTTGCCTCAGCTTTTGGCATCTGTCTGAAAACCACATGGAAAGAGGGATGGTTCTGCATGGGACTCAACCAGGAACCAGCTCCAGGGAATAGAACTTCAGGAGCCATCAGTGAACAGACCTCACCCAGGTCTCATGGACAAGGGCAGATGCTGCCCACCAGCATTCCTAGCAAGCCCTGGTGGGCGGGAGAAGGAGTCCTTGCTAGGCTGCATTCTACTAGAGCCAAGATTGCTTCACGTGCACAGATTTATGCTTTTAACTAGACAGGACTGTTTTCAGGAAATTGACTGAAGCTGCTTGTTGATTGGAAGCAGTGAGGGAATTTTATTTTCCGTTGTGTGCTTCAGTCCTCAGTGATCCAGCACTCAGCACTAAGTTGTTACAGATCAGAAGCTGCCACCAGCCTTTATCTAGTGGTGACATGACATTCCAGCCTCCCTTTGAGCCGTGCAGGATGCTTTCTCTTCCAGGCCATGTTTCCTTTCAGGGCATGCTGGGAACTGCACACACCCTGCTCCTTGTATCCTCTGTCCCCATTCTGCTCTTTGTTTTTTTCGTCTCACCAATTCATGACCTCTTTGCTATGGGATGCTCTTTGGGGAAATAGTAGCCATTTGCTACAAATTTGTGCAATGCCTGGCACAACAAGCTCTATATGGGTCAAGAGTCTTTGGCACTATTGCAACACAAATGTTGAATGCTAATAGTACTGTGGTGGAGCCATGCTTCATCATGTTATCAATATCACTATATAGGATCACACTAACCCTTTGATTATCACCTATTACTGCTTCCCGTTGAAGGGAAGTCAGCCTTGAATGGTTCCTCTAGCTCACACTGTCTTGACCAACATCATACCCTGTTTTTTTAATTGTTTACACCTCAAAGAGTAATCCTGTATCCTGTAGAGAAGCTCCCAGCTGATGTCTAATGATTAACTACAGAAGAGGAGAGCCGAAACATGCGGTGCTACTCTGTATTAGTGTTCTTTAGCTATAATAATGGCTTGCTTTTTCCTAGCAGTGCTCAGAGCTCTTTACAAAGCAAATGGAACATTGTTATTGCCATTTTAGGGATCATAAAGCTAAATTGCAATGAAGAAACGTGCCTAGACCACAGTCAGACAGCAGATCAGTGGCAGTCACTGGGACTACATACAAACCCACCAAAAGCTGTGTCATATCCACACCCCTAAGTGAGAACTCAATGCAGTTACTTAATAATAACAAAAAGTATAATTTATCCCATATATGTCCGAAAATAAACGCCAGTTGTTCAGGCAGGCACTCACATGCTGTTTGGTTGGAGTGAGCCTGTTCTTAACACATGCTCAGCTGCTTGTTAACAGGAGGGAGAGATGCAAATGAAAGTCTACAGGCTTTACAATAAGCAAACTTTGTTCCTTGATCACAGCGCAGTGTGTCCTGCTCCTGACAGTTGAAGTTTTGTAGTGGGTCACATGGACAACAGATGTTCACCTGCTTAACTACAGTAGCAGTAAAACTCTTAAAACAACTGCTGAACAAAGAGAGACCATCTACTCTAGCTGCTTTGGAATCAGGCAGGAGCCCTTCAGATGTATTTGTCTATGCGTCTCATCTAATTTCCTCTCAGAAAACTCAAGCAGTGGAGCCTCTACTCTTTTCTTGGGCAAATAGTTCCTTTCTGCGGTAAGGCCCCGCTTCTCTGATGTGGCTTTCCTCCTCCACCCAACGTGGCTAATTTAACTTTTCCCTTCCTACCCATGCTGGTTGGTGTGGATGCAATATGCATGCTGAAATGTCATCACTCCCCCTCACAATCGCACTGTTGTGCTTGCTCATCTGGGGTCCATCTGTGGGGTTTTGGTAATGAAGTCCTATTATGCCGGAAAGTAGGAGGACAGAGGGCTGAGAAACACAGGAATCCTGGCTATTGCACTGAGATGAGTGATCACACCGTGTTTATTGAGCTCAGTACTGGGGCTCTGTGTGAAGCTCCATACAGTGTGATATTAAAGAGGTCATCTCACAGGATGGCCTCACACTCTGGTTTAGCAGAAATCCTATGCATCCTTCAGTGCTGTTTGTTTAGCGACTCGAGTAAAACCTAGGTGATTTTGGGGTTTAGCATTCAGAGTGCCTGTGCTGTGTTGAGAATAAACAGGACCAAAGCAAACCTCCATGTTGATCCGTGTGGGTCTTCTGTGCTTAGTGGTCTCTGAGAAACTCAGATAAGGAAGCTCAGCTAATAGGATCAATGATTTTCTCCAGAGCTTTTACACTGCCTATGAGTCTGTTGCTGTTTACAATACCATGGAAGTCATACCTGCAAAAGTATCAATTTTTGTGAATCTGTACGAACAGAGGCTGGCTTTGATGCTCAAATCTAGTGTCAGGCAGCGCGTGGAAATACGTGGGATGTGAGCTGGGATTTAGCGGACACACTTTCTGCTGAAGCATCTGTCTGAAGCCCAGTGAGAGGCTGATTACTGTGAGCCTCGGGGAGATGTGGAGTGATGCTTGCAAAGCTTCCCGCAGGAGGGCTTTGGCAGATGGATGAGGCAGAAAGGGCCACATGAGGTAAAAATACTGCTATCCATAGTGAGATGAAACTCTTGTCTAGAAAAAAGAAAAGTTAAGAAGGAGTTGTTCCTTTGTATATTTCATATGCAGCCTGAGTTTTCTGCTGCTCAAGAGAAAATGCCATGTACATTTCATATCCTCCAAAGGAGGAAATTTGGTTAAAAAATAAAAAGAGCTAGACATATATCTCCTCTGGAAATCAATAGGATTTATACATCTCAATCTCTTTTTCATTTTGAGACTCTCATCCCACACACAGCACTCAGCTATGCTTTTATGACCAGATCCCCTTCCTTGCAAAATCACACCCTTCTTTTGATATTCATCAACAATGGGGATCAAAACTAGCATACAACTCAGTGAAAGCAGGCTTTGTGTTGCCTTTTACATCTTTGTTTAGCCCTCTGGCAGAGCTCTGGCAAAAGCCCAGGCTGCAGCCTTTGCTCAGGGCTGAATGAATAAAGGTCATCATGTGCCAGGATGGAAGTTCATTGTCATACAGTGAGACAGAGATGTCCAGCTAAGCTGGTTTGAAGAAAAGGTACAGTATTCAACTGTGCTCACCTTCAAAGATGATAATTTCACAGGCTTGCTTTCGCTGGAGAAAGCAGTACTGTGACTCATGTCAAATAGTGAGAGCAGGATCTTACCCACCATGCTCCTGTGGAAACGCCTTTTCTTACATGCTGAGGAGGAAGAAGAAGAACACAAGGGGTCACCTCGGCCATTAAGGCTGAGGTCTTGAATAAGCCATCTGATGATTTACTTGAGGATGAGCTGGTTAAGCAGGAAAAGCAGAGGAAAGAAATGGTGAGCAAGTACCTCTGGCTTGGCAAAACAATCAAAGAGTTGATAATTCAATAGACTCTTTGTGAATTCCTTTGCTTCAGTTTTACTCATGTGCCATTACTATTCCCCTATCAGTAAGCAACCCCTGGAAAAGCACGATCAAAATCAAAACTAAACCCCACTAGATAAGCATAGAGGAATTGCTAGAAATAGGATCCCAGCAACCATGACATGTATAGTCTCATCTACTTCCTTATAAAACCAATGAGATCTGCTCTTTCTCTGTCCTGCATTGAAGACTTTGTGAAATTGAGGATGTTCTTCATGCCTGCATTTGGACTGCATAGCCCCTTTTCTTCATCCCTCCTAATCCTCCTTGCTTTTTCTTGTATTAGTTTGCACTCCTCTAACTGCTTGTAGACCAGAATTCTGGCAGCAAGCATATGAAATCTCAAATCAATTGAGTATGAGCTTCAAGGGTGAAAATACAGGGGTTTCCTTGTAGACATCAGGTTCACTGAGTTAACAGGCTGAGTTATGGAGATTTTCAGTTTTTAGGCTGTAATATTAAGTTGATAAATTATGCTGAATTACATGACAGCGTCAGAACTGTTGTTAAAACCTAGCACACAGGAGTTGTCAAATTATTCACAGATTAAAAGATTGGGTTACCAGGATTTGAACTAAAGGAGGTCCTTCTTTTTCACAACATTTAGTTTAAACCGTGGAACTCACTGTCAGAGGAAGCTGCAAAGGCAAAGGTTTAAGCAGGCTCAGCAAAAAAGATCAGCTGAACTGGAGAAAGAATGGCCTGTGAGCAGTGGTTAAAGAGAACAGTAGAGATGGTCAGAAGGAAGAGTGAACACACAGAGGGCCCTGGGCAGGCTTGAAGTTTGGGCCAGCTAGGGAAGCATGAAGAACTGGACTCTGCTTTGACGGAAATATGAGTGGATTTGACAGGGTCCTGGATAGCTCAACCTAGGGCCTGCTTTACGTAGGTCAGATGGCCCCCAAGAGCAGGGACCCAACCCAGGCTTTCTGAGATTCTATGGATTCAAGCTTGAAACCAGAAAGTCAGTCTGAGGGGAGGATCCTTCTCCTTAGTCTTGTTTCTTTTCTTTTCCTAGGTACCTGCTACTTCCCATCAGTAGAAATGGCATGCTGAACTGGGTGAATCCAACCTGAAATTGCATCAGTTTTTGTGTTCTTAAGATTCCTTTGCCATAAAATCCTATTTTCCTTTCCAAGGAGGATGCTGTAAATTCAAACTTCACATAAGAAGAGGTAGGGCAGCCTTTTAACACAGCCGTTGGGATAAGCTATATTCTTCAGATGAGTTGTTAGCTCTTGCACAGGAAAAAAAAGGAAGCAACAGAAAGCAGCTGGGAATAAGAAGGAAGCAAGGGATGTATGTCCTGAACATCACTGCTTCCATCAATAAAGCTGTCTCTTGTTCATGTGCATGCCTGTATACTACGCACTGCTGAGCTGGAGCTGAGTGCTTAGCAGATAGTGTTACTTGCAAACCCTCTGCCCCCAAAGGACCGTCTCTAATCAATCTAAAATGATTGCGGATTCACTCAAGTGCCTCATGACTTACATTCACCTGAGACGGCAGCTCTCTAATGGTAATAACAGCATGTGAGCAGGGAAAGAAGGCAGCCAAGTGGAAGGATGACTTGTGCGAGTGGATCTGTATGGAAGGACCTTTTTACAGAGTGACCCTCAGGTCGCAGTAAGACGGGCCCTCAGCCGCAGATCCCTTGCTCTGTTGATGCCAAGGTATCCACACTGTGAGCTGGAGGTGCAGCTTTCCCTTACATTGCCTTTGTTAATAATATAGCTGCTGCAGTAGGTAGCATCCCAGGCTCTCAGTCCTCTTCGTGTCGAGGCCTTTGTCCTGATGGGGGCACTGATCTGGAACAGTGATGTGCTGAGTTTTTTTCTGGGCCAAACAAAAGCCTGTTCTGTGGCGTTCTTCAGGGAATGCCACTGTGACCCACAGGCTTTCATCACAGGACCTACCTGTTCCGTCAGCTCTGCCTGCAAAGCCTGCATAACTCTTTGTGTTTGTTCTCAAAACAAACATTCAAATACAGTCTTGTATTTTCTTTTCCACAAGAAAACCAGAGCAGAAAAAACCTGTGTGGACAAGTCAGTGGGAGCACCCTTAGCTGAAGGAAGCCAACAAAAACAGGCATACCACTTTCAGAGTTCCTCACAGCTCTGCAGCAAACAACATGGAGCAAGACAGCAAATCCAATGTGGAAAGAGCAGCCAGTGGTGTTTGCACTGCCAGGTCCTGCAGACACTGATCACAGTGAAGTTGGGGATCCAGCTGTGAGCTTTTCTCTGGCCTATCATGGCCTCATTTCACTAAACTTAGCACGATTGTTCTACAAAGTGCAGAAGTCAGTGTTGTGCACAGGCGGCTCCTTTATGAAGCAAGGGGTGGAAGGATGCCTGGGTTTCTAGCCTGGATTTCTGACAGTCTTCTTTGCCTCTCTTGAGTTGTGGGGGACTGCCGGGGTGAAGGGATAGTCCCAAACAAGTGGGGAAAAACTCCCTGCCACAAGAGTTGGGGTAGTCAAACAGGGTCTCCACAGAGGCTTTGTGAGTCCCTGCTCTGAGCAAGACAGCCTGAACTGAGCAAGGACATAGGTCCTAGTCCTGGGTGCACAACCCCTAGCGGATATACTCTGTAGTCTGCCTCATGCAGCCTATGCCTTTTGTTCTCTGTCTGTGTTCTCAGTTTGTCCTCCAACCTCTTTGAACTGTCTTTTTAAATGTCTAAACAGTGCTCAGAGTGAGACTTTCACAGAATTAACACCCAAACTATAATTATACTCAGACACAATATTAAAGTTGAAAAGCCAAGTACTCAAAAGTTAGCAAACAATAGAGTTTATATTGCCTCTGTACGTTAATACAGAAAGAGCAAAACCTTCCCTCAGCAGCTGCTGTGTTTTCTGTGCAGCCTGTTTGTTGCAAGTGGGAGAACCCAGGGGTACATTTTTTGGGTGTCGTCAGTAACTCTCTGCTGCTCCCACAGGGAGTCAAACACAGAGCGGCACTGCAGGCTCCCATGGCAGAGTGGTCATGCAAGGCTGGTCGAATGTATTGGAGATATCAGCCTGTGTCCCTTCCATGTGCCCTGAAATGGTGGGAGCACAGTGCTGGATGGCCAACAGGGTGGAGGACCTGGTGGATGGAAAATACCTCAGCAGGAGCTAATGATTATTTCTAGCCCAGATCACTTCTGTGCCAAGCCTGGAGGTGTGGTACAAGGGTGAGGATGAGAGTGAAGACTAAGAAAGAAGGGCTTATGTTGGCTTTGTTCCAAATAAAACAGTCTTCCAACTTATGCAAACAGTAGTGCTTGCATGACACTCAGCATTTGCAATTCCTTTGCCAGTGTTTTTTTTTCCCAGGTTACTTAACATGTTGGATGTTCACAAGGATGGAAGCAGGAGGAGATCTAGCAAAGAGAAGAGAGCTTGTGGTTCTGAGTGACTGAGTGCTGCCTTGGGTAATGGAGTTCTTCCTGCTCAGCACCTCAAGGTTGTTAAACACATGATGCCACCAATATGTTTTGCAGGTAGTTGCTTCTTTGCTTCCTCATTTTTTGAGTGTTTTAAGTCCTTGCTCCAAACCAGAAGAGCACTTGGACTTGTTGAAGTATATGCCGTCAGCTTTTGTCAACGGAGCCATTAGTCTCCAGCATTCTCAGATATGGTTAGCCTATTTCACCAAAAATTCAGTCTGGGGCAACCCCCAGGAATGTAAACTTTCAACCCAAAAGGTGAAGTATTGGAAAAACTGATAAATACCTCAAATCAGGCTCCTGGAATGGGAAGCATTTGGCAAGCTTGTAAGAGGCAAAACCAATCCACAACACTCAAGAACAGAGCTTGTCTCTATAAATAATAAAAAGGAGCAGCTGCTATCTAAAAAAGTCAGAGCATTATGCAAAAATGTACTCCAGGGTATTTGTATACACTTGCAGGAATTGGCATACAGCTGGAATGGGTGTATAAAATTCCTGTCTGAGGCTAGTTAGACCTTACCTGTGCTTTAACGTGAGTGTGGCTGGGCTTCCACGGACAGTGTGGAAGGCTGTATTGCTCCAGCACTCCTCTTTCCAGGTAAAGGGTTGCAGACGTGCACTACCTGAGGCCCATTATTCCACTTGCAGAAGCGATTCAGGCATCTATGTTCCCATGGCATAGATTCAAAATCTAGGTGACTAGGGTTCTACATCACTGCAGTGAGTCTGGTTCTTCAACTTCATATCTCAGCTGAAGCTATAAAAGTGACATAAGTAAAAATGTTAAATCTGAGTTTATTACAAAACCTGGGGAAAATTTGGGTCCAGGTAGTAGTGTGTGTTAAAGGCAATGTGCTCAGTACCCAGCAACCATGAAAGACAGGCTGTCAGTTTGAGTGCTCCACTGTTGGTTCCTGCGGCTGAGGATGTTTACCTTGAACATCCCTTTCTGTGGCTGGTGGCAACATTGAAAAGGAATAACTCTTTCCTTTAAACATTTAGGAAGGAACTGAGGGAAAGAGAAGACACAGATCACATCAGCTGTAACCAGCAAAGTCCACTTTTCTTCCTTAGCCTCCCTGACACCAGGGCTAGAAAGCCTTGTTATCAGGCGAGTCTCTTCTCCCACACTGGTCCACCAGCCTGGTGGAGAGATAGACAGAAAAAATGGTGCTGGAGACCCAGCACCTGTTGCTTGCGGATTTCACATTTTAGAGTGCTTCTTTCCAGCTACTTGGGACTTGCTTAAAGTTGATCTTGACTACATGAAAAATCTTGCTATTACCTTTTATGCACTCTTTTTTCTTGTTGTTTTTCTTTTCTTCCTTTCCTTTTTGCCTTTGTTTTTTTTCCTTTCACATCAGTCACCACATCCTTAAATTGGGAGGAGAGAAATTAAAAGAAAACATTCAATACCTCAAGTGTTTTTAAACCGTCAGCAATTGGTAGAAGCCTGAAGAGGTCATCCCTGAAAATAATCCAGCTGATGAACTCCGTATGGATGTCACCTTTCCAAGAGCAGTGCCATTTCCTCGTGAGGTGGGTGTACTTATTTATTGTGTCATTAAAGCTGTTTTCTTTCAGGCAGCCTTTAAATATCTTCTCTGGGGATTCACCAGGCTGGGCAGCAAGCCAAGTGGAATCCTCTGAAGTTAAGAGCTCAGCTCTGTTGGACACAAACTACTTAACATTTCAAGGACAACAAAGGTGGTACAGATCAAATTTGTTTCCAGGAGGAAAGAAATAACTGGCAAGTGACACACTGAGCCCATCAAACCAACAAGCAATGCCATGATGACCCCTCTTCTTTAGGCAAGAGCAGGGTGCTGCTGTACGTTTATATCTACAAGTTGTGATTATGGACCCTTCACTCTACTTGCCATGGCTCCAGAAAAGCCACAACTAATGCTCCAAAATCCCACACCCTATTGCTCTGATGGGCTCCTATTGCTGTTACGTTCCATCACTGTTGTAGATCTTCCCCCCACCCTGCTGCCAGGGCTCAAATTTTGATGTTATGTTTCTTGAATGCAGTTGTCCAGAGCTCAAAGTGCTGTTCATAATTCACTGTTCCCAGGCTAAGTGACAGTAGAGTCACAACCGGCACAGGTTTTTCCTCTTCTGAGATGCTCAGACTGCTTTCATACAGGGATGCCACCATGGGTTTTGGAATCTGCTTTCCACAGACCTTCATCTGGGTTAAAGTCTGTTGCTGCCAAGTTGGCAGAATGCAACACACAGGATCAGCTGCAAAGCCTGTTGAGAGACAGGAGAAGATTCCCTGAATTTCAACAGGTCATAGATCCAGCTGAAAGAAGAAGGGTCAGCAAACTGTGTACCCTGGCTCTCGCTGTTGTGAGTAACAACGCTGATCATACCTGACTGAAGCCAAATGCGTTAGGATCTCACAGTCCCAAGTGCAAAGGATGTTTATCTTACCCGCCCTAGAGGTTTGCTGTGCTTGGTCCTGGTTTAGGTTTAATGTCTGGTGCAGATTTCGGTGCAACCTGCTGTGGTCTGTTCAGTGAACTGTACAGTCCTGAAGGGCTGCCAGCTTGCCAGGAGCATTATTCCTGCAGAGCCTTTCAGATAGCAATGGAGTTTCTCCAGATTTGGGTTGGTGGAGGGTAAATCCAAATCTGATGCCTCCAGACGGTAAAACCCCCATAGCCATCCCCATCTCTGGGGCCTGGCTCTCCTTCTTAGTAGGTTGGGACAATAAAAGACTCCCCCAAGCTGACAATCTCAGTTTGTCTGACTGTTCTCCTCAATGGATGGGACACAGCAGTGCAGAGGAACTGGCTGAAAAAACCTACAACAGGGAAGAAGAGGAGTTGCTCCCACCCTGGCAGGCCCAGCTGGCATGCCAGATCCTAGAAAGAGCCACTGCTCAGAGAAGCAGGGTAGGAGGCACTCAAAGAGGCAAGACCAGAAACATAATTGTCTGTGTTTTCAATGAATAAAATATAGCCGTCCTCACAGACAGAGGGTGAGGTAACAAGGATAATAACAATAATCTGTTTGGTCTCTGTTTCTCCTGGGCTTAGGGGCTCATTTTGCAAATGGGTATCTGTATAGCTAGAGCTGCTGCCTCACAGCTTACACTGCTCAGACTAATGCCCTGCTTTTTTCTCTGCCAGCAGCCTGTATTTTCAATTGTTCATGATGCAGTTGTAAATAAATGCTCTAAAGATGAGCTGGAGCAGTGAGGATCCTTCCTAGGGCCCAGGTCCAGCACTGGCTAGCTCCAATGGAACTTAACTCTCTTTTAGGATTCAGCACTGAAGGGCTGCATCTGCCAGAGGAGAATCAAGGGAAGATTTAGGCTCAAGTAAAAGCCCAATAAAACTGTGCCACCAAGCAGGCACTGAAGAGAGGCTACATCGGTGTCCAGTCAGCCCTGTTGATGCTCTCAAACTGGTAAAAAAAGAGTCCAAAAGGTCTGAGTTGGCCACAAATTAGACCTACACCCAGAGTACTTTCTGAGTAGGGAAATTCCAGATGGCCACCCTCAAACAGGCAAGTACAGTAATGGCAAACAAGGGACAGCAGCAACCCTGCACTGCTGCAGGCATGTGATCTTTGGGTGGGAATCCCCACTGAGGTGCATGATCTTGATAAAGAGGCAGCTTGTGAAAGCTGGA